GTCATGGAATGAGGCAAGCACATCGTTCACCACAATGTCTGTCCTCTTGACTGGAATACCTGCTTTCTCTTGATTAATGTTTGTAAGGTGTATATTTTATTCTATCCTTTCACTTCCAACATACCTAATCATTGTATTTGAAATGAGTTTCTTACAAACAGCATATAGTTCATATAGTTGGGTTGTTTTTTATTCACTCTGCCAATCCCTATTTAGTATCATTATAGTTAATGTAACTGTGATACATGAGTATATAAGTGTGCCATTACTTTTAATTTTCTGATTGTTCTCTATGTTTAAAAATGTTCTGTTGTCTTTTGCCTACCTGTGGGTTAATTAAGCATTTTTTAAAATTCTGGACTTCCAGCCAGGAAGGTGTAGGTAGATACACTTTGCCTCCTCTCACAACCAGAAGAAGGACAACAACAAATTTAAAAACAAAAAATAACAGGAACTGCCAGAAAATTGAATTGTATGGAAGTCCAACAACCAAGGAGTTAAAGAAGAAACTTTCATTCAGACTGGTAGGAGGGGCAGAGATGGGCAGCTGGGGAAGAGAGGACTTGCAGCAAGGCAGTGGCTGGGGAACCAGGGTGGGTGAAGTGACAGCTGGAGGACTGGGCAGTCTCATAAGACTCTGCAACGCAGGATGCCATTACGGCAAAAGAAATCATCAAAACCTCTGGCTGTAAGAATCTGTGCATGTTGAGGCAATGGGAAAAACTCCCAGTCTCACAAGAGAGTGTGTTGTAGAGACCCACAGGGTTCTAGAATGTACATAAACCCACACACCCAGGAATCAGCACCAGAAGGGCCCAATTTACTTGTGGGTAGTGGACGAAGTGACTGAAAGCCTGCTGAGAACTTAGCAAATGACATTGTTCCCTCTCTGACCCCTCCCACACATAGCACCACAACCCAGCAATGTGGGTTGCTCCGCCCTGGTGAATACCTAACACACTATCCCTTACTAAGTAACAGGAGTGCCAAGACAAATGTGGCCCAAATGAAAGAACAGACAAAAACTCCAAAAATAGAACTAAGAGACCAAGAGATAGCCAGCCTATCAGATGCAGAGTTCAAAACAATGGTAATCAGGATGCTCACAGAAGTGGATGAGTACGGTCACAAAATAGAGGAAAAAGTGAAGGCTATGCAAAGTGAAATAAAGGAAAATGCACAGGGAACCAACAGTGAAGGGAAGGAAATGGGGACTCGAATCAATGATTTGGGCTAGAAAGAAGAAGGATTTTCAACCAGAATAGAATGAAGAAACAAGAATTCAAAACATTGAGGAGAGGCTTAGGAACCTCCGGGACAACTTTAAACATTCCAACATTCGAATCATGGGGTGCCAGAAGGAGAACAGGAAGAGCAAGATATTGAAAACTTATTTGAAAACATAATGAAGGAGAACTTCCCAATCTAGCAAAGAAAAAAGACTTCCAGGAAGTCCAGGAAGTTCAGAAAGTCCCAAAGAAGCTGGACCCAAGGAAGCACACAAGGCACATTATAATTACATTACCCAAGATAAGGAGAGAATCTTAAAAGCCACAAGAGGAAAGGAGACAGTTACCTACAAAGGAGTTCCCATAAGACTGTCAGCTGATTTCTTAAAAAAGACCTTGCAGGCAAGAAGGGGCTGCAATGAAGTATTCCAAGGCATGAAAGGCAAGGACCTACATCCAAGATTGCTTTACCCAGCAAAGCTTTGATTTAGAATGGAAGGGCAAATAAAGTGCTTCCCAGACAAGGTCAAGTTAAAGGAGTTCATCATCACCAAGCCCTTATACAAAATGTTAAAGGGACTTAATCTAAGAAAAAGAAGATGATCAAAACTATGAACAATGGAACCTAAAAAACAAACAACAACAACAACAACAAAACAGAAACAAAATGAAGCAAAGAACTAGAACAGGAACAGAATTACAGAATTAGAGATCACATGGACAGTTATCAGTGGGGAGGATGGGGGAAAATGTACAGGGGAAAAGAAGCCTAAGTGGTAGGTACAAAACAGACAGGGGGAGGTTAAGAATAACATAGGAAATGGAGAAGCCAAAGAACTTATATGTACAACTCATGGACAAGAACTAAGAAGGGGGAAACTCTGGTGGGAGGGTGGTGCAGAGTGAAAGGGAATAAAGGGGAGAAAAAAATGGGACAACTGTAACAGCACAAGCAGTAAAAAATACTTAAAAATAAACATTTTTTAAAATTCTATTTTGATTTGTCTGAAGTGTTGTTTTTTATTTTTAGTATGTATTTCTATATAGAGTCTTTAGATTGGCTGTTCCAGGTATTACATGATAAATTTATAATTTACCACAGTCCACTAATGCTGACATTTTACCAGTTTTTGTGAAGTACAGAAACCTTACTTTTCTTTATATTCTTATACCCTTCCTTTTATAACGGTCTTATTCCCTCTACATATATTGAAAACCACAAAAAAGTTATAATTTTTGCTTCAACAAACACAATTTAGAAAATTCATGAAGTGTATTGTATTTACCCATATTTTTATTATAGCTATTCTTCCTTCCTGATGTTCCAAGATTCCTTCTTTTATCACTTCCTTTCTGTTTCAAGAATGTTCTGTAGTCATTCTTTTTGGACAGGTCTACTACAAATAAATTATCTTAGTTTTCCTTCATCTGAGAATATCTTGATTTCCCCTTCATTGCTGAATCACATTTTCACTGGATAGAATTCTGTATTGAGTCTTTTGCTTTCAGCACTTGAATGTGGTATGCTACTTCCTCTGGCCTCCATTGTTCCTGATGAGAAATCCATTGTTTGAATTGTGCTTGTCTTATAGGTGTTGTGTCATCTCTCACTGCTTTAAATACTTTTGCTTTTCAGAAGGTTTACTAGGATGCATTTTGGTGTGGATTTTTGGGGTTTACTCTATTTGGAATTCAATTAGCTTACTGAATTAAGTAGGTTTCTGTCTTTTGCCAGATTTGGGAAATGTTTAGAAATTATTTCTTAAATTATTTTTTCAGTCCCCACTTTCTTTCTCTTCCCTTTGCAATGATGTTAGATTATTTCTTATAGTCTCAAATGTCCCTGAAGCTCTATTTATTATTCCAGTCTGTTTTCTCTCTGTTGTCTTAGATTGACTAATTTGTATTGTTCTACCTTCAAGTCCACTGATTCTCTTCTTTACTCTCCCTATTTCTGCAGTTGAGCTGTTCTTGCTTAGTTCTAAAATTTCCATTTGTTTTTTCTCATATCTCTATTTCTTTGAGGAGATTTTCTATTTCCTTGACTTCCTTTTCATTTATTTCAAAAGGGATATTTTTATGATAGCTGCTTTATAATTAGTCAGATAATTCTATGTGCCATCTTAGTGTTGCTGTCTGTTGTCTTTTGTTAGTCAAGATCTTTCTGGTTCTTGATATGTGACCTTTCATTGCAAGCAGAACATTTTGGATATTGTGTTGTAAGACTGGATTTCATTATATCTGGGGCTTTAGCAGGCCTCCTCTAATACCACTGCACTTAGGGAGCCTCATTATAGCCGGGTGGAGATAGAAGTTCAGGTTTTCCTATCTGCCTTGGTTGACATACAGGGTAGAGGAGCTCCTTGTTACTTCTGGGTAGTTCAGGCCCCACCATAGGCAATGCTGATATAATCCTGGCTAGGAAGAGGAGCACTCTGTTACTCCTCCCCATGTGCTCTTCACTGACAATTCAGAATGGTAGTTAGAAGTGTTTAAGTGGCCTGTGTTCTGCTGAGCAGTGGTGCAAGTTCTGACTCAGGTTTCCTCTGACACTGCCTAATGGGAAGAGGGAGAACATATACTAGGAAGAGGGAGTGGAGCCTCATTAGCCCCAGGTGGAGGAAGAAGTTGTGTTCCCATGTGTCCTCTACTCACACTGCATTGGGGGGGGGGGGGGGAACAAACAAACCTCTTTACCATATAACTGATTGGGATACTTGTTATAACTGGAGAGGGTGGGAGTCTAGGCTCCACACATTGTCCTTGGTGATGAAGCCTGTTTTCTTCCTGTGGTTTTGGCTAGAGGGGGTTATTAAATAAAAGTTCTGTCTTGTTAGGCTGCCCCTTTCCTGATTCTTTGGCTAGAAAGGATTTTCTGGGATCTTTATCTGAACTCAAAATTTCTGTGTTGCTACTTTCTCCAATAATCGGTATAGGATATATGAAAAAATAAGGAAATCCAGGAAATTCACCTCTGTATTGTTCCTCGGTTCTCCAGACTCTCCCAGCTAGTGTACCTTCATCTCTTCCACCCACATTTCACAGTTTTATGTTTGTTTTATACATCATGTTCAGGATTTTTCGCTATACTTACCAGGAAGAATAGGGAAAAGAAATTTGGAATCAAAAGTCCTTTCTCTATTATTTTAATGTGTTTGTGATGACATTGCAGTAATGTCTTTTAGAGACATTGGTTTACAGATTAAATATAATGTCTGAGATAAACTTAATTTGGGGTCAGTAATGAGTAGGAATACAGAGCAAGTGAGATTAGCTATGAATTGATAGTTGTTGAAGATGGGTGATACATGCATGCAGGTTCATAACTCTATTTTATTTTTGTATATGTCTGAAATTCTCCTTAAATGAAACAACACTTCCTGACCATCCACTCTAAGTCATATCACTGGCTCTTGTCTGTGCTCTCTGGTACAATATAAACTTGATTAACAAGGATCCAGTTTGTCTTGGTTGAAATTAGAGCTCCAAAGCTTAAGAGTGAGTGGTACATAGTTGGCATTCAAATCACCATGTTTCTTCAGATATGTTTGTAAGATGCCACAGATTTTAAATACGTTTACTTTATGTACCACTTTTAAAACATTACTGCACATTACATTATGATATACCATCAACTTTTAGAAGTATTTGGATTTTAGATATCACAATGTGAAAAACAGATTTTGTAATTAGTGAACTATGGTATCTATGGAATAAATGAATACTCTGAAATATTGTACTTCATACATACTCAATAGCAGATTAGGGTATATGTTTTCGGCTATTACCAATTCTACCATGACTATATTTTTTCCCAAATGCTGAATTTTTATGTCTAAATTTATAGGTTACTGTTAACAAACCTTAACAGAAAATGCAACATTCTGACATGATGGTCTTCAGCTTCTCACAACCAAAGACGCCTTTTACTATTCAATCCTCAAGGCCCCCGTATTTTGAAATACTCTGATATCAAGTAAAATTTATTTGTTAAACTGTCTTCACTTTTTGTTGGTCAAATGTGTAATATTCAGACTGACACAATATAATTTCAGCAAAAATAGAAGAAACTTGACCTTTTACCTACCCTGTATGGATGCACCTATGGGTAAAAGTATCATTTTCCATTAATAAATCTACTTTTTAGCCTCCAGTGCTACTTTTTAAGAATCAAGATGGCCAGAGCTCAAAACGGCAGGTGCTGAATGCCAGCTCCTATATTAAGGCAAGGGCATTCAGGTAGCCCTTTTTAACACTATAAGTTAGGCCATTTGTTTACACACTCTCCAAAAGAGGTAGATGTGTAAGAGTTCAACTCTATGGTGAACTGACAAGACACAGGGGTCTATTCAGGTTGCTAAATTGATAGTGTAAATGAATTTTTTTTTGATTGGATTGGAACAGTATAGTAAAAAAAAAAACACCAAAAAACCCTCCAAAAACTACTTGTAAGAGTTTAGATCACTTATCCTCTCTCTCAGTTTAGATCTCAGTTTAGGTCTGAATGCAGAAGACAAGTCATTTGTCTTTGTACCCCTGAGCAAGGAATTCAGTGATTGCCCAGAGAAGGCACTCATAAGCATCTATAAACATGTCAGTGGATGGAAGGACAGTGTCCTCAGAACCTTTAAGACATCTTCTCTGACCCTGATTTAAGCTCTCCTGACAGAAGATGAAAATTAGGAAACATGACCTCAGGACCCTAGGTAAGGAAGGAAAACTAATTCAATCAGAATTCTCTTGACCTTTGGAATGTTCCTCATGCCAATTACCCTCTCTACTTCCTTAATACCTGATGTGGAATAACAAATCTATGTGTAAAAACTTTCACCAAATGCCTAAGACACACTCTAAATTTTTTAAATGAGAGCATGCACATGAAATCTCAAAAGTGGCATTTGAGAAAAAAGAGGTGGTCACAAGGGGAACAGAATTTGTTTTCTTCCTAGGAAAATCACAAAAATACTAGCACAGAACTCTCCTTATCCCCAAGTTGAAGGCCATCATGACATGTTAACCTTACATTTAAAATAAACAAGAAAAGATAAAACCATTATTAGATGAACACATGCAGTGATTGTTGTCTTGTTTGGGAAATCTTCCACTCAAAAGGCTCTGTAGATCTGTGTGGGATCTGGTGAAGGGACACTAAGGGCACTCCTGTATTAGCACAGAAAAGAGCAGTGGGTCAATGGATTGTAGCAATGTGTTCTAATACGTACCACTTTGTTCTAATACATATCTATCCCAGCCCCCAAAAGACAGGATTAAATATTCTGAGCTCGTGTTCTAGCAATGGCTGTCTTTTCCTTCCCTACAAGGCAAAGGATTGGGGCCAATCCACAGAGTTGAGAGAAAGTACAGGACTGCTAAATCTTTATTTTTAAAGCACACATCAGTTTTCAGGTCTTCCTTACACCAGGAAAAAAAAAAAGCCATGAATGTGCAGCTACACAGAAGACAGAAAAAAACTAGTGAGCATCTTATACAACCACTTCTCTTCAACTCAATGAATTCTTTGCTCTATCATATTCTTGGAGGGGGTGGCGTTTCATCAATATTTGGTTTCTACAGCAATATATATTGGTTAAGTATGTGTATAGCAATCATGGAGCCTGGTTTGATCTCCTTATCTACCTCTCTCTTAAATACTGATTTGGGTCTGCCTGCTCTTAATTTCACTTAACCAGCAAGAAAACAGATAGCCCTGATCTGCACTGCTCAGTTGGTTAAGCATCATCCCACAAAGGCAAAGGTCACTGGTTTGATTTCCAGTCAGGGCACATGTCTAGGTTGTAGGCCAGGTCCCTGGCTGGGGTGTGTGCAAGAGGCAACTGATCAATGTTTCTCTCACACATTGATGTTTCTCTCCCTCTTTCTCCATCCCTTCCTTCTCCCTAAAAATAATAAATAAAATCTTAAAGAAAAAAGATAATTCTCTCAGAGATAATTTAGTGTACCTCACTGATAACTAGTCATTCATGATAAAGAATAAGTTTTACTAGGAACTTTGTAGATAACAGAGTATCAGAGCCTTTGCTCTAATAGATCCCTTACAGGCATGACAGAGCAAGACTCTTCATAATGAACTCCTGAAAGGTGTGATGGTATTCCCTAAACTCTGGGCATCTGTTAACTTACTGGAAAAATGAGCTAAAATATGTAAAAAGCAACTTAGCACAATACCTAATATACAGTAGGTGTTCCATATATGTTTCCTGATCAACTATAAGAGTTGATATTTACTGAGCACCAATCATGTACCAGACCCCTATGACTGTTACTTTACATATATATAGCATTTCCCAATAGGTACTAAAAGCCCATTTTTCTTGGATGAGTTAAGTGGCTCAAGAATTCAGTTTATTTAGAAAAAGTTAAAATATTAGCTAGGGAGGTGGCTAGCATTTTAACCTAGCTTGTCTGATTTAAAATCTCATGTCCTTTCCACTATTCCACATTGTTTCCTTAAACTGTTATTGTACATTTGAGTAAGCTAGATAGAAAGTAAAAACCAAGAAGCTGTAGTAAAACTTAAGAATTCTAAACTAAAAATATCCTTTCATACCTTAACAGATTAAAGAAGGGAGGGCAAACAACGTGAAATAAACCAATAAACCCCAAATGAAAGAGAATAAAAAGTGCTGTTAAATATCTTAGAATAGATAAATGTTAATTAGATGTCTGATTTTCTTCTCTTTTCCCAGAAGACCTTTAAGAACAAAGTAATTATGTTCTTCCCACCTTCCTCTCTCCTAAAAAAGAAAAAAAGGACATTAGTTCTGTTATATACCATCTGATCCAATCCCCTAGGCAGGTTTTATTCTGGTAACCCCTCAATAGCAAGAGAAGTAGTCAGTTAGCTGGCTCAGTTCAGCTCTAAGAGCTGTAGATTCTGTGTTCTGGAATATTAGGCTGGGTGGTCTTCTTACTTAGATGTAACAACTTGGCTACCATATGAACCATCCTGTACTTTTCTTCACACAGTGTTTTAAAAAACTGTTCACTTAGTCTTGGGGCTAGATGAGACAGAAAAAAATATGGAGACAGAATAAAGAAATAAAATATAACTATGAATTTTACCAAAACACAGAATGAGTTGGAAAGGAAGAGATGACTTTAGTAAGAGCAGAAATAGAGCCCCAGACACCTTGGACTTAGGAAGATGAATAAAAATCTTAGTTACTATGGTAAAATAACTTCATTAAGTGGCTACCATAGGTGCCAAATTCCATTAACCTTTCAATCTATACAAGTAAAAAAGTTACAGACATTGGCCAAGCCCCCATTTTCTGGGGCCAAGTGGAATAGGGAATACAGATTCCCTAGCCAATACTGGCCAAGCCAATACTGATGCTGTTGACAGGATAGTAAAAAGCTAGGAAAATTACTGGGCAAGTAGAATAGGGAAACTGAGATAAAAAATTTTTGTATTTATTTATTTTTAGAGAGGGGAGGGGGGGAGAGAGAGATAGAGAGAGAGAGAGAGAGAGAGAGAGAAACATCAATGTGCGGTTGCTGGGGGTTATGGCCTGCAACCTAGGCATGTACCCTGGCTGGGAATTGAACCTGCGACACTTTGGTTCGCAGCCTACGCTCTACTCACTGAGCTACGCCAGCCAGGGCTCTGAGATAAAAAATTAAACAAGGCCAAACAATTTGAATAACTTATACCAGCTGGTGAATTGCAAGACCTTACCTCCCCTAACCAAGGACATTGGGAGCAAATGGTTTATACCTCTCTTCCCTAACAAGACAATAAATATCTTAAATCACCCTCGTCTGGGAAAATAGAGAACAATATGGTTTAGGATTACTTTAGAAATAGAAATAAGTCATTCTGTGATTAAACTCTATTCTCCATTAATACAGAATTGGTACTGTCTTTCACTTTAACCTTCGAAAGATATTATTTGTTTGTTGCCAGTTTTAAATGGACACAACTGTAAATAAAAGATTTTAAATAGAGACTAATAAAGCTTAAACATAATCATTTCCACAACTCCAGTTTTATTTAGATTTTACATGGTTGCACACAGACACACTTAAAGAAGATATATTATATATAAAATATAGATAATATGGGAGTTTCTGACAAATGGCTGTTAATGAAAATTTATTAGCTATATAACCTTTGAATATCAGAGAAACTTCACTATATACAAATCAGAACTAAGTTCCAAGTTCTTAAACTTTGGTTGTATGAATATGCCTCAATCACCAAGAAACAAACAATAATACTAATTTAAAAAGAAAAAAAATCCCAAGAAACAAAAAGTCCTTCAGCTTTCTTGAATCTATTATTTTTAAACACCATTTGGGGAAGTTCTCTTTTATTCTACCTTTTCTTCCATCTTGGTCAGTTTCTGAAACCATTATCAATAAAACCTGATCAGAGGAAACAGGATGGACAAACCATAATAGATGAAGGTGATGTCTCAAAAGAACTATTTCTGGAAATTATTCTTTCTTGACTACAAAACTGTCTTAACCAAGGAGATGTATATTGTGTAACATGCATAAAAAACCCCAAGTCTTAAATTTCAAAAATCAAAAACTCAAACTATATCATAACAAAAGTTGGGGATGAAAGGTTCACAGAGATATCTTCAGCAAACCCAGAGAGGTTCTTGGTTTCCAGCTTCTTCCATATACCACTGGTCTCTGCTGGCTGCAGAGGCAGTTTGTATCACACACAGGTATCATAAAGAGACCTGATGGGATGAGAACAACTTTTCATGAGATTTCCCAAGAAATCTGATGGGCAAAGAAAGAACAATCAAAGAATGAAGACTGAAATAGAAAAAATGGGAAAAAACTGAGAGGACTTAGATGTACAAACTGACAATGGTATGTGCGTGGAAGGGACTGCATTCTTGCATAGAAGTATGGATTATATACACATTTATATTCAGTCAGTTCATATATTACACCTGACAACTCTAACAGGATGTTTCTGCTAGGAGGTGGAAAGAAGGAAGTTCTATTTACTCTGCTCCTCAGGCCCCGGTCCTTTGTCCTGGCTGGTTGGTAGTCTCTGCACAGGACTCAACAGCATGATATATGAATGGGTAAAGCTTCATATCTGGTCCAGGGGTGGAACAGTTTCTACATTCTTCGTTGTAATATCGTAGCAAGAGCTTATATACTTCTCCTGGAGAGTAAAAGGCCAGAACAATTTGTACATTAAGGTATGCAGATGGATAAAATTACTAAAGAACACTCAGCTTTATCTTTAAGTAATATATGCTTAAAGTTGACTATTGAAAATAGAGTATCAATACCTTAAAGAAACTACTTATTAGCTCATGATTACAACAGCTATACAGGATGGGGCAAAAGTAGGTTTACAGCTGTGAGTACATGAAACAGAATTTATTCTTGTATTATTATTTATTATTACATTATTATTTATTAATTATTGATTTCTTTTCCATATGAACAACTGTAAACCTACTTTTGTCCACCCTGTATAGTGCATTATCAAGCCTTGTTTTGGTAGTTAATGGTGACTCTAATTCTACATTAAGCTCCTGTGGTAGCAAGGCCTATCATGTCCAGCTGAAATATACTAGATGAGCATGCTGGCATATCTGATAAATAGGACTTAGAATAAGGCCTCTTAGGTTTGAACTTACCTTCCTATACCTTACTTCTTTTAGTTTTTAGTTTAGTACACACACAAACATAAAAATGAACACTAACTCCACTTTCTTAGCCTTATTTTAATAAGCTCATAAACTCTTTCAAGATTGTGGATGACACTTTGTCAGAAAAAATGATTCTACAAATGTTGCCTCTCTAAGACTTTGTCCTCCCAACCCTCAAAATCACACTTCATGTTTTCTTATTTACTGTGATCCATGCAGATTTAGCAAGCGTTCCTCCTGCTAAATCTATCTAGACACCAGTGTCAAAACTATCTCCTACTTACCAACAGTCAGCTTCCTTTCAGTAAGAAAAGTATGCATGCTGTAAATGTCTTTCATCAACTCTGAGTCCCCAAAGGTGAAATAAACCACATCTCGCTCAGCTACAGCAGCTGCCAGTATCTGTATTAAGGCTGTAGAAAAGACAAAAACATAGCTCTATGATGACACTTCCCATCAAAACACCTTTAGTTCTTTCAACCAGCTAGATTATAGCTGCTATGACAAAGGTTTATCCTGCATTAAAGATTTATAAACCTAATATACACATTATTAGAAATGGTAAATAGAGGATGGGTATAAATCATCTAACTGTGACTTTTCAGACATGCTGCTGAGATTATCATTAAGCCACAGAATTCTTACTCAAATGCCTTTGTGGGAAAACAAAGCAAGATACATTTGATACAGCACAGTTAAGGCACTATGGTGGTATTTCTTCTTTCTTATATTAATCTGGAACTAAAATTTTTGTGTTTGTTTGCCTAATTGTTTTTGTCTCATTACATAGTCACTGGTCTTTTGTGTAATATGAATCTCTGAGATTTTCCCTGACCAATCCATTTAGAAGGCTGTAATATCCTTATTAATCCTGTAGCAAGCATTCTCATCCCTTCTGCACTCCCACCTCTACCAATCATGGCAGCATGGAGTGAATGTTACTGAAAACATGGGAGTTACTGTAAGTTACTGTAATTCTGGCACGACGGAATGGGAAAATCATTCCGAACCACTGTACCCAGGAATTAAAGTTACAAATCAATGAGACTCAAGTATGTTTCCAAAAATTAAGTTTCTTTATAATCTTCTCAATAGACAAAATTTATTTTCAATACTAACCACAAAACTGAACACAGGTATAATAAATGCCCCTTTACTTAATAAATCTTTTTCCTTAATAAAAAGAGAAGTGGAAATAAAGTAAAACATGGTAGGTTTTGTATAGTATTAATTTTTGAGAGCATGTTAATATTCTACATATACAGAAAATAAAATTAAAACAATAAGAATGGAAATGTGGAGGAACCTATACCTGAAAGCAAACTAAAACAAATGAACCTAATTTTATTTCAAAAGAATAACATAACTACACAGAGGGAGAGAAAGAAAAAGATGAAAGAAAGAACTAATGTAACTTATTAACACAATATTTGACTAATATACCCTCAGTCTGGGGCATGAAGGAAAGATTTACAAACTCCTCACTCTTTTTAGGTTTGCTTACTAATTATACAGGCAAATCAATTCTGAAAGTACTTGTAAATATATTTCAAGATTGAGCAAGTGAGTAAATGTTGATATTATTGAAAGCTGGGGTTCTCTCTAGTGGAAAAAGACAAAATATTCTGGGAGGAGACAAATTGAAATGGAAGGCACTGGTATGTGGTCTGACATCTAAAATATGCACATTGTGTGTGTGTGTGTGTGTGTGTGTGTGTGTGTGAGAGAGAGAGAGAGAGAGAGAGAGAGAGAGAGAGAGAGAGAATCTCTTAGCTTTGTGTGCTAAGAAAGCCCAAAGATATCTCAGTAGCAGCAAGCATACCTAAGTGCTCAGATCTTGGTATCTAATACCATTTCCCCTAAAAGGAGCTGGATTCCTCAGGTACATGCCTGATTTACATGGTTGGGACAGAATAGGTCCAAGAAGAGCCCAAAATATTTTGTGATGCCAGAAGGAAAAGAAATGTTAAAAAAATGATCGGAGAAAAAATTCATGGGAGCTTGGCACGTGGAAAAATCTCCCCCGAGCTAAATCTGGACAAGCTAAGAACCAAAATATTAAGTACAGTAATATATGAATTGCTGAGTCCACACTGATAATACATAATAAATAAATAGACAAGAGGAAGAAGGGTACTTGCTCACAGGAGAAAGTCAAAGACTAACCAGTAAGTGTGGAGAGACTACTAGAATGAGATAATCTTCTTTTTGCAATAATCATGGCAAAGACTGAATCTGATAAAAATCATTAAAGGATGCTAAATCTAAGGTATTTTGTCTTAAAGTATCTTCCCACAGACTGCTTATGAGCTACAGAAAAAGAAAAAGAAAAAAAACTCAAAATCTATACAGTGGATAAATCAGACAGCATCTTCACTGGGTGATCAAAATTAACATCACCACTGGGGTCAGATGGTTATCAAATGTCACTATTACCCATGTAGTGCTCTGACTGAGAATGCATAACCTCAACCTAATTATGAGGAAAAAGCAAACAAATTAAAAAACACTATATTTTTAAAAGACATCAATGTCATAAAAAACAAAGAAAAGCCATGGAAATACTCCAGATTCAAAAGAAGTCTAAAGGACATGACAATTAAATGCAATTCCTAACTCTAGACCCTATACTGGAGGGCAAAAGGCTGTAGTTTTATTAGCTACCTGACAAAACTGGAACATAGATGATGGAGTAGATAAAAATATTCTATCAATATATAATTAAGAATTTAATAACTATAATGTGCTTTTTGAAATTTTAAAAGATTTATTTATTTTTAGAGAAAGAGGAAGAGAAGGAGAAAGGAAGAGAAACAATGATGTGAGAGAAATGTTGATTGGCTGCCTCCTGCCAGCCCCCAACTGGGGTCATGGCCCGAACGTGATCCATCCATGTGCTCCTACCACAAATTGAACTGGCAACTTTTCAGTTTGCATTACGATGCACAACCCACCAAGCAATGAGGGTCAGAGCAATTATAATGTGTTTCATATAGAAAACATTTTATTCTGACTTCCAGCAAAGATGGAGGCATAGGTAGACATACTGTGCCTCCTCGCACAACCAAAAGAAGGACAACAACAATTTAAAAACAAAAAACAACCAGAACTGACAGAAAATCAAACTGTATGAAAGTCTAACAACCAAGAAGTTAAAGAAGACACATTCATCTGGACTGGTTGGAGGGGCAGAGAGGGCTCTCGGCAACGCAACAGTGGGTAGACTCGGCGGGACTCAGTGAGGCAGCGGATTGTGGACAGGGGCGCAGCAAGGTGGCTGGTGGACCAGATGGCCCCACATTTGCAGGCAGATAAACCAGGTGAAACTGGGTAGCAGGAGAGACCACGCAACCCAGGGCTACAGCGTGAGGAAATAAAGCCTCAAACCACTGATGGAAAACAAGTGTGGGGATTTATGTGCCAGGAGAAACTCCCAGCCTCACAGGAGAGTTCGCTGGAGAGACCCACAGGGTCCTAGAATGTACACAAACCCACCCACACGGGTATCAGCACCAGAAGGACCCAATTTGCTTGTGGAAAGTGGGGGAAGTGACTGAAATCCAGCAGAGAGCAGAGCAAGTGCCATTGTTCCCTCTCGGACACCTGCCCCACATACAGTGTCACAATGCAGTGACGTGGGTTACCCAGACCTAGTAAACATCTAAGGCTCCACTCCTCACTATGTAACAGGCATGTCAAGACAAAAAAAATGGCCCAAATGAAAGAACAGATCAAAGCTCCAGAAAAAATACAACTAAGCAATGAAGAGGTAGCCAACCTACCAGATGCACAGTTCAAAACACTGGTAATCAGGATGCTCACAGAATTGGTTGAATTTCGTCGCAAATTAGATGAAAACATGAAGGCTATGCTAAGTGAAATAAAAGAAAATGTACAGGGAACCAATAGTGATGGGAAGGAAACTGGGACTCAAATCAATGGAGTGGACCAGAAGGAAGAAAGAAACAACCAAACAGAAAAGAATGCAGAAACAAGAATTCAAAATATTGAGGAGAGGCTTAGGAACCTCCAGGACAACTTTAAACGTTTCAACATCTGAATTATAGGGGTACCAGAAGGAGAAGAGGAAGAGGAAGAGCAACAAGTGGAAAAGTTATATGAACAAACACTAAAGGAGAACTTCCCCAATCTGGCAAAGGAAATAGACTTCCAGGAAGTCCAGGAAGCTCAGAGAGTTCCAAAGAAGTTGGACCCAGAGAGGAACACACCAAGGCACATCATAATTACATTACCCAAGATTAAAAGTAAGGAGAGAATCCTAGAAGCAGCAAGAGAAAAGGAGGCAGTTACCTACAAAGGAGTTCCCATCAGACTGTCAGCTGATTTCTCAAAAGAGACCTTGCAGGCAAGAAGAGGCTGCAAAGAAGTATTCCAAGTCATGAAAGGCAAGGACCTACATCCAAGATTACTCTATCCAGCAAAGCTTTCATTTAGAATGGAAGGGCAGATAAAGTGCTTCCCAGATAAGGTCAAGTTAAAGGAGTTCATCATCACCGAGCCCTTATTATATGAAATGTTAAAGGGACTTCTCTAAGAAAAAGAAGATAAAAAACATGTACAGTAAAATGACAGCAAACATAATTATTAACAACCACACCTAAAACAAAAACAAAAACAAACTAAGCAAACAACTAAGCAAACTAAGCAAAGGGACAGAACCACAGAAATGGAGATCACATGGAGGGTTAGCAACAGGAGAAAGGGAGGAGGAAAGAGGGGGAAAAGGTACAGAGAATAAGTAGCATAGATGGTAGGTAGAAAACAGACAGGGGGAGGGTAAGGACAGTATGGGAAATGTAGAAGCCAAACTTAGATGTATGACACATGGACATGAACTAAAAGGGGGGAATGTGGGTGGGAGGAGGTGTAAGGGGTGGAGAGGAGTGAAGGGGAGGAAAATGGGACAACTGTAATAACATAATCAATAAAATATATTAAAAAACCAAAAATTTTATTCATAGGAAGTGCACTGAAATACTTAGGAAATGGGGCATAATGTAACAAGTTCAAATGGTTCAGAAAAAAATTGTATCCATATGTACATACAAGGTCTGTCCAGAAGGTATCCAGCCATGTAATATAAAACACAGAGACATTTATTGAAGAAAGTACAAGATAGAAGAAACATTGTACATTGGACAATGACGCCTCAGTCCCCTTCAAAGTAGGCACCTTGGGACCTCACATAGTTCTCCTAATCGCCATCAGCTGCCTGTTGTATTTTCCTGAGTCTCATCGACAGTGTGAAATCTCTTCTCTTTCAAAGGCGATTTTAGTTTTGGGAAAAGCCAAAAGTCTCAGGGCAGCAATCTGGGCTGTAGTGGGGCTGAGTCACCTGGGTGATTTGATGTTTCACCAAAAACTTCTGCACCAGATGTGATGCATGAGCAGG